CAGACCTTTTGCATGCGCCTTTAAACACACACTTGCACAGATATTAACTCAACACTTGATTTGAATCCCATTAGTCAAATAATGTTTTAATTTATTTAATTTTTAGAATGAAATATCACTTTGGAACACTGAAGGTTTCTTAAATCACACACACACACACACACACACACATACAGAGACACACACAGTAGGTAGCTGGGAGGGAGGTCAGAGCTCCATGCTTTCCCAGCTGCTATCTGGCGTCCCACAGCTGTCAACACCTTCAACCACAAACTGTATGCAGGAGAAAGGGCCTCTCGTCCTGTCTGGGGCCACATTCATGTGTAAGGCAGCTACACAAACACACACACACACACACATGGGTCAGCTGCTTCTGTGTCACACCGTGAGCCAGGCATTTTGGAGATGTTAACCTACATGGAAGACGAGATTGGGATATTCGCCTCGGACGCAGATGGCGACCTGGTATCTGATGAAGACTCAATTTGAGACTTCAATTGGAGTCCTGTCGGGCAAAAAAATTCCCCCAGGAATTTCCCGTGTAATTACTGCCACGCTTGGATAAGCATAACAGTTAATAAACATCGATCCACAGACACAAAATGAAAAGTGGAAAATATGCGACCCTGCGGGAAAACGCGTGTCGCTCCTTCACTGATCTTGAAAATGGCTGTTTCCCGTCAGTGCGTGAGGAGTCAAACGCCCTGACAGCTCCAGCAGCACCAGCGGGGGGATCTGAATTTACTGTGTGCACACAGGAAACATTTGACCCCAACGCACTCACGCTTTAGGTCATTATAAAAATTTTAAATCGTTTTTCAAATTAGCATAATCTTTATTTTCAATCAGAATTATTAACCAGCTCACAAGGCAACACAGCACAGTTGCCCATGCCATGCACACACTAAACTGAGGCCACCTATATCCTCTCACTGGGGCCTCGGTCGGCATCATTAGTATTCTGCTCCATATGCGCCTATTGTTAGGGCCCCGGCGGAGGGGAAGGAGGGAGGAGAGAAGGAGGTGTGAAGAGGAGGCGGCTGATTTAATTTCTTTTTCACCCTCTTTTAATAATGGCTTCCTTTTGTGGGGATGTCGGGGCAGATCGCGTGCAGCAGCCAAACAGAAACCAAACTCGCAGACTCAAAGATGAAAACTTTGAGCACAATAAAGACGCATCAAATAAAACGCAGAGCACTTTAAACAGCATTTACAGCGGCGGGCATGCGCAGCGGTGCGTAAAACTTTCCGGTGGGAGATGCTGGGGCCCTAACGCTGTCACATAAACTTGTATTTGTCTCGATTAACCCAGTTTTTAATTCTAATGTTAATCTCAACCCCACTGCGTCACGGCGGAACATATTTGTCGCAACTTCACCAGGGCTCCGCACAGCGAGAGAGAAGCCCCCTCATCAATTAAACGGGAGGTTATTATGGTATAAAAATGTTAGCTGCAGCAGCAACATGCAAGCTGAAAGAATAACTCATTCCTTTATGATCTATGGAGAGCACAAATAAGAGCTTGTTAAGTAGTAAAAGCTACAAAAGTCCATGATGAGGGAACAATGGGCCATTAAAGAGTCGGTCTGTGCCACAAACGGCGGGTGCTCCACCCCCTGATTTCGTTACCCACAGACATAAATCTCAGCCCAAAGCACAGAAACGCATTACATCCTTTCAAACAGAGACCCTATCAATCAAGTTGAGTAACTTTTTTTGCAGATAGAGGTCACCTCCACACAAAAGGCGCAGCCCAGACCAAGAGTCCATCCAACGGTCAAGCGGATTACAATGAGGATACGCTGCAAGGGCTGTAAGATATTCAAAACTATGTAGGACTATATGGTACATGGGCTAAAACGGGGGGTTTCAACCCAGGGTGTGGTGATATGGTGTGAGTCAACAAGCAAGAGCTCCTGGAATCCAAACACGCAGTAAAAGGCACTCTTCTTACCAGCTGACGCCTCAGTGTCAAGTTTTCCTGCCCCCAGCTGCTGAAACACGCCAGCTCTCCTCTGGCGCTGTCCTGGGGAAGGGGGTCTCCCAGAGCCAGCGCCCCCAGCACCAGACACTCCTGCCTCTGCTTGCGGAGCTCCAGTTCGCACAGCCCGGCCAGACTCGCCTCCAGGCGCTCCTTGGTCCGACTGCGCTCCACAGTCACCGGGAACGAGAACGCACGGTGCATGCCCCCCCTTTCAAAATACCAGGCTTATATGCACAGTAAAAGTAATTACTCCCCTTATTTTTGTATTTCTTGTATCTCCAATTGGCCCAGATTTACGAGGGCATTCGCAGGCTATAAAAGGCCATGCTGCATCCCATTCCTTGTAATAGTATGGTTGCCTTGGAGCAGCATGGTCTCCCAGACCATCTATGCCCTATACATTTTCTTCTATTTCGCAGCTGTCAAACGCAGGCACGGAGCCCCGCCCTCTGCAACCAGCCACAGAGGGAAAAGTGGGAGTCATCCTCCCCTTTGCAAATCCAATCTGAGGCTTCATTGGACGCGAGAGGCTGGTGGGGTGCTGCGCGTAACGGTGTCCCATCCCCCTTGATTCATTGCGTTGACGCGTCGACCTCACCCATTTTCCCATCTTGGCCTGGACTAATGGACTACTTCAGGGGATGGTTATTTCTGGACGTATAGTAAACTGGGATTGTATTATTCTGAGACTTTTAAAGCCCCCATGTAGTAACAGGGCAAAGAATACACCAATAACAAGACTGAAATACTGGTGAAAGAGGCTGTATAAATGGATGGCAATTAGACAGGATACAATAACATCAGGGAAGGCTGCTCAGTGCAAAAATACAGATGCTGCAAATTGCAAGACATTATGAAATACAGCGTAGAGTTTAATGGGATTGTGGTACCACACAGGATAAGGCATGATAAACAGGGAAATAGTTATATATGTATATAGCTGTATGAGCTATTTATGTTCTGTTAATAGAAATAATCTTGTTACCTCTTTATTTAATCAGGAATCAAGTTTGTATCCTCTCTCTGATGCTTTTGTGCTGCATGTCTTCAGGATGCTGAGGAATGCTAAACACATTCATGTTTGGAAAGATCAGTAACAGGAAAACTTCTTTGATTTAACTGAATGTTGAATCAGTGACAGATCATATTTCAGATGTGCCATTTTGTGTATTTTAAGCAGCTTTCCCCTCAGATCAGAAATCAGAAACGTTCTCTCCAAAACAAAGAACAAAGCTGTTCATCTGGGCATCTTCTGCCAGTCAACTGTTAGCACCGTAAAGAAGTTATACATATGTATACCTGGTATGCAAATAATGCACGCTTGGTAACTTATATTTAGAATAAGGCATTGGCTGTTTTAGGTAATTTCTACACTAACATTTGCAAAAAAAAAAAAAGCCTTAAAAAATGTCTTAATTTTAATTCTCCATCTGTTGTACATCAGTAGTCTCATCCTCTTTACACTCACATGGATTGGCTTCTTAGCTTTCAACTGCATTCACTCACTGAGTTTGTACAACATGGACACAGTGGTAATTAATAGGTCATTAATGTAACAGTAATTAGTGAGACAATAGGGAGGCAAAGGCATCCTGTGGGCAGACTGCTCTGAACGTAATGGAGGTTGTGAGAAACTTGTTCTGTGTGTATAACTCCCAAAATAACAATGCATCTATATTTTAGTGTCTTTTGATCTTACTGTTTTAAAAGTGCAGTAACGGATGAATATTTAATCTTGGTACCTCGTGCTCATCCTCTGTACTACTCCACTGTAAAGTCTCCTGAGGTCAAACACACCGGGTCTTATAACAACTTCTGTTTCCTGTTTTAAATATTAAATATATCTATATGAGATTCAGTCAAACATTTTTAGTGTGTCTTGTCAAAATAAAGTATGAATGAAGTATCAATAGCAACACTATTTGTATAGTATATCTTTTTTTATTCATACTTCCAATCTCTACTTCACATGAACCAGAAAGCCACTTTCATCTTCAGTCTATGAGGCAAAGTCATCGGCAAGTCAAAACCTACGCGCAGCGCAGGTTGGATTCTTTTGTCAGTGTGTGTGTGTGTGTGTGCACACTGCAGATATACACAACATATACTTACAGTATATTTATCTCATGTATAAATTTAACTAAAAGTCTCTCTAGAGATCAAAACATTTTCTAAAAAAAAAAAAAAAAGCCATACAGTAGAATGCTTTTGAACAGAACGACACCAGTACATATTTTATCAAGACACACTTGAAGAGCATTCGCTATGAGTTTGATCAGTGGTTGTTTTCAAGAGGTTGTGTGATTCCTACCGTGTGTTAATAACCAAGGATGTTAGTGAGTACTGTGTTGTGTGGGTGGCACTAATGTCTCACCGGCTCTGTGACAGCAAGGAAAATGCCAATTGATACAGTCAATGAAGCACAAAATTCATTAGTTGTCAGTGACAAAATGGTGGCATCCAGAACTCTCGGGTCACCTTGGTTCCAAAACTGTGCAGCGATCATACAATCCTTTGTGTAACGCAGATTATTGTGAGTGCACGCTGGAGAAGAAAGACTGAAAAAGGCAAAAAAACAAAAAAAAAGCAAAAAAATAAAAGCCACTAACTGGTGTTATGAGTGAGAGATTGAAGTTTAGATTTATTTAAGTCAAATTTCTTGGTACCAATGAGAAACACAGGAGATTTGAAGGAAACGATGAAGGTACAATTTGCATAAATGTGGAGATTGATAAGATTGAATTCAGGTCTGCTGTGACAGTTCCTCGGGGGCCTGTGTGAATATTTAATTTGGACCGGGGAAGATGTGTTTCTTGTCCCTGTGAAGGATTTCACTCAGCCTGGACAGTGAAATAAAGTTTCAGTGATTTAAAATCAGGTGTGAATAAAACCAGAGTTGGGGATCAAGCATTTATCACGTCTCGTTCAGATCAGAATGAGAATGTAAGTTTTAAACAAACAAAAAAATACAATTCAAGCATCTGAAAAGGAAAAAGAAAAAATCCATTTCATCATACACTTTTAAAAACAAACACTTTAAAGCATTTCAATCACATTTTCATATATATGACATTTCTGTACCATCATATACATGAAGAATTACTTCACTATAATCTTTCATGTCGTCAGGATTGTGAAAGTGATTTCTATAAAACAGAAAACATTTCCAACCACTCACATTCAGGTCTTAAGGTTTCCCTGTGTTATCCTTACTCAGTGCCTTCTTCAAATGTACTATACGCACACACACAGCAGGGGTCCAATCCTGAAGCTTTTATGCTGTCAGTCAGTAACACGCCATGCAGGCACACAGACGAGATACCGTTTCCCTCATACAAATCACTCTTGCCTCGCCTTGAAATAGACAAGAAAGTGTCAGTCTTACATTGGGCTTTGGGATGAGACACTGAAAGAGATCTGTATGTAATCATGTCAAATAGAACAATGCACAGATATTCTATTTGGGCAGAATAACACTATTTTTGAGCAGTAACAAACCAGCAGGATTAAAAATCCAGCAATTTCTGCTGAGTTTGGATGTTGTAAATCACCAGTGTGATTGTCAAATTAACTAAAATACAGCACAGAAACAGTTTCCTCAGCCCTGCATTCACCTCCAAACAAAACTGCTGGCATTTCTTGCTTTCATTCTTTACCTGAAAAGGCCTTAAAGTGCTTCACTTTCTCTTTTTTTAACACAAAGACGTCTTTCTTATTTTTGGAAGTGCTTTCATTGCTTAAGTCCGTCAGGTGTCAGGGGTCTCTGTTGACAAACTCTTAAGAGATGCTCTTTGCCGCACCTAATCCAGTATATATATAATACATGACATACATGATAAATACTTCATTTAAAACAACATGATCATTTGTGAAGGTACATTTCTACTTCTTTCTTTTGGTTCAATTTAGTTGCGTAAAGTTAATTCTCATGCTTTCATTGCATCCAAGACAGTCACTTGAAATAGGGGGAGGGGATAGTATAATATATCTTTTTTTTTTAAAGGAATAGTTTGACATTTTGGGAAATATGCTTATTAAGTATATTATTATTTATATGTTATTATAAATAATTACACTTATTTATGGTGGCTCATCCAACTTTTAGCCAAAAGCGAATATCTGCATTTCTCACAATGTCAATCAATTCCTTTTAGCAAAGAGTCGTCAAGCCACTAATGTGGTGACAAGTATAAAGAGTTGCTCACAGAGGGCAGATGAAGGGTTCATCTCCAAAACGTTGTATATCCATTTACAAGAGAAAAAAATCATCAAGTTCATTATTTAATCTTAAATATTTAGATGATCGTCTTCCTTTTGTCAACCATGGATTTCAGCTACTTAGTCTGTGACATCAATCGATAGTTAAGCAATCTATCAGTTTTTAAAGTAGGTGTAACTTGATTTCAGATTTTGGATATGTCATTTTGGAACAAAACTCTTCGATTGTAAACTGTTCCCTGGTGGGGCTAATGCAAGGCGGCATCCAAATGCATTAGAATAAAAAAAAAGGCAGTCTGGCTGCAGGAGCCAGAAAAGAAAAAAACCCATAAGAAACATACAAGTGTGAAATGGTAAAAATGTCACACTTTACAGCACACACACTTGTGCGCACACGCACTCACACACGCACTCACACACACGTGCACGAATATAATCGCGCGAATGCAGAATCATACTTGCACACTGGACATGTCACAGACATATCTGGCATGCATTTTTAGAAGAAAACACTTTTTGTTAGAAATTCTTTAACTGGTCTAGAGCTCTGATAATTTCTTTATGTACATAAATTAACAATAAATATAGGTAATGTTTATATATTTTGAAATATATATATATTAAATAATGAAATATTCTTATATATTTCAAATATATTCATAGAATTCTTTCTAATTTCAAACATTTTTAAAGAGATATAGTCACAGTTTAGTAATAAAACATGTAAGAACACAAGTCTCCCTATTGGTATGGCTGCAGCATCCCCTTTTTTTTAAAAAGATTAATAAATTGTGATCAAAGTCTGGCCTTTTGTTTAGGCTAATACATTCTTACTTCATTAGAAGGATGAGAAATAATGCAAAGTAAGGTAGCTAACACTGTGGCAGGGGCAACCGATGATGTGAATTGTGTGTAAAAGTACTGGTTTAGATCATTTTAAAGATTTCCCTTAATAAACATTTCAACACATTTCAACGGTCTGACAGGGAACCAGCCCTGCCAGAGACCATACAGGCCAGGTTCAAACAAGGCAATAGAGACTGATCTGTGAAGCTAAGCTTCCACAGCTACAACACTTCCTTTCCTTTTTGGTTGTGGGATGATAACTCAGATCACATGGAGGTTTACCAAAGGGACACTGCAGCGAGGACCTCTAGGGGACTATTGGTTTGGAACAGTCTAGAGAGTGTAGAAAGCCATTAAGACTCGAAAGGACCCCCCCTTTCTTTGACTCGATCTCTCCTCGTCTTCTGTTCTTCTTTTTGTGACACACATAGACTGGAACTGGACCACATTAACACTGACTGAGGGGAGCTAGGTTGTCTAAACGCATGCAGTAGTTTTCCTTCTTTCTCTCTGCCACTGTCTGGTCGACTTGGCTTACAGTAGGATGCACTTGGAAATAAGAGAGTAGAAGGAAACGGTTATCCCACAGGTGCAGAGAAGAAGCAAGTCTCGCACTCTCCCACAATGCCTCAGTGATGTTGGGTACACCTCAGTTCCTGCGTGTGGTAGGGGCACATTCTGTCCATGATTTCCTCCTCCTGGGGGTTTTAACCTCTGTGCGCTGGACACGACTGTTCCTCTCTTTGTGTCTATTGGACCAGCTCATCGTTGGTCCCCCGCCTCCCTCCTCTGTCCTCTCTCTGTCCATCTCGCTGCTGCCTGCATACTGGTTCACAAACAAAACAGGTCCTATATTGCACAGCATGCCCTCATGGCCTTGTGGTGGTGTGTCAGTGGTAGCGACTTCTCTTCTCTTCAGCTTCCGAGCTGTAGTCCCTTAAACCAATACCTCGCTGGAGGTTCAATAAAGAGTCTTTCATCTGAAGAAGAGGAACAAGAGGAGAACACAATGCGTTACCATGTTTATTATAGACAGTAAAATAACACTGACCTACATTAACGCATGGGACAAGTAACAATCTCCTTACTTGCTTTAAGATATTTAATTATTTTTCCCATGGTGCCATTGGGCAACAATTGCAACTGATGGTCATTCAGGGGAGGAGAAGGTTATTCAAAAGTTTCCCTAAAGTACATTTATTTACAGGCTCTATTCAAATCATTGGCTCACCTTTGAGGTGGAGTGGTTTGTTTAATTGTAATATTCTGGGGATGGAAAACTAAATTTTTTACTTATTTTTGATGGCTATATTTGAACTGGGAATGTTATTAATACATTGTCAGTGACTTAAACCCCTCTCCTGGCCAAGTTTTTATCTGATATTATAAGCTGCTGGTGAGATACCTCCCGCACTTCAGCAACAGAAAATACCCTCTCATTTGTGGCACCATTTCCTTGTCTGGTAATGTGTTTTATGATGACCCTGATGAAGGTTGCAAGCTGAAAGACCCTGGTCTGACAGTAAAGTTGTTCTTTATACTGCAAGTGTTGCTGGGACTTTCACTTCTTCAGACTTTTCCCCCTTCTCCTCTGCACCTTGAAAGTAAGGGAAGTTGTGCCAGAAATCCCCTACTCTGCTTCTACCATTTTGTTGTTTGGCATGCATTTATTATGATTCTTGAGGATAACGGGACAAATGTAGACAATGTTCCATCACAGTGAGATACATCAAGTCACACGAGCAGTGTCTACCTATAACCCCCAAAATAAAAGCAAGCCAATTCTCTGGCAGTTGCCTTACCTGGTCTAGCAGCACTACCGACGACTTGATAATCTCCCTCCACTTCTGCAGCTCGGCGTCATGGTAACGCTGCTGCGCCTCCAGGAGTTGGGCCCACTCCATCTGCGTCTGAGGCAGTTTACTGGGAAACATGCACACACACACACACACAACATCAGGGTGCAGCCGCTGAAGCATGACTTCCATTTTGAGGGACTGCCAACAAACAGTTTGGTAAATTGTTTCAGTAAGCCCAGAGCTATTCAGTGGTAATTTTAGGAGCTCAGTGTTTTCCTGTCACACATGTCAACAGCCATATGGATATAGTTTAGTGTGTATGTTTATGTTGTGATTGCCTTTTGGGCAAACAGCCAAATAACTACAGTCCATTCAGTCTCATCTCTGCAGTGACAGATACGTTTTTTTAAGGATCTAAAATGCCCAAAATATCAATCAGCCACGTGGAATCTCTGTAATAAATACGTTTTGCATAAATCGCTGCTAAAAAGGTGTGTATACACTTATTTGTTTGTGTGTGTGTGTGTGTGTGTGTGTGTGTACCTTTCATGAAGCCGCAGACCTTGCCAGGTTGTTAAGGACTGTGCAGAGTACTCCAGCATCCACAGCTTGTAGAAGAGCATCATGTTGAGGAACACCAGCAGGACCAGGCTGAAGGAGGGCAAGACGGAGAGTCAACAAATCAGTCTTTTCCTTTGCATTTTATTCATTCAAAATTCCCCTAATCTGTAGATGGCAATGCCAATATGCTGGGCATACTGTTTCTATATATGCATCTGGCTATGCCGACTACTCAGATTATGTACCTTAGACAGATCCTACGGATGGCAATGAAGGGAGAGGAGAGAGAGGTTACACTCAAGACACCAACAATGAGATATTTATAAGAGTGCAAAAAAAAAAATCCTAAATTAGACAAAAAATCCACAAACTGGAACAATTTATGAACTCATGAAACAAGTGACTCAGAGAAAATTCTCTGTTTTAATATATGTGAGATGAGCATGTGGATCCTGATAGCCAGATATACAAACATACCAATATGAGAGATTGTGCACTGTGTGTGTGTGTGTGTGTGTGTGTGTGTGTGTGTGTGTGTGTTGTCTGCTGCGTACACA